CCATCTTTTATGAGGTATTGATACAAAAGAGAAACAACAAATCTAGGGAGGAGGTAGAAGGTGGAAAGGAGTAGAGCTCGGGCGTTTAATCATTAATTATTATTTGCTATGGCCGGGGCGCGCAGCTCCGGACAGGTAAAGAGACTGATAATCAGTCCTAGTTTATTTTCCTAGTTAGTTTTGCACAAAAAGAGGTCAGCTAAACCCAGGAGTGAAATAGCTTGCGCAATGCACTGCAGAACAGTGTTTTCAGAGCATCCCTTTAAAAACTGAAGACCACAAAACTAAGTTAGATGCTAATGTTAAGTTAGAGAGTCATGTCAAATAAGGACATATGTAATGGTGGCATTCCTATATGAGGCCAAAATCTGTGTCCAGAGGTCATACCAGGAAGTAAAAAAGCAGAAGAGCACCCCAGGGAAGAGGCCAGAATCCAGATATTTAAGTAAGACAGGAAGAAATAGAATTGGGTTAGGAGTGAGAAAATGTGTTCAAATTGAACTAAACCTCAGAAGTTGGAGGATAAACACAGGATAACCGGGCTTTTACTGGTTTTTGGCACCTTTCTGGAGTAGGTTGATAGGGACTATAGTGAGCTCTCCTGACAGAAAGTGATAGGATTCTCTGGCTACTGGCAATTGTGGTAGATTACCGAGGAAGTTAGTACTGGAAATAATGGTCCTGAAATGTTATTTCATTGCTGCTGGCTGCTGTCTACAGAAAAGACTGAGAAGAGAGTGTAGAGCAATAGTATATGAAAGAGGGTAGGAAGGAATGATTTAAGTCTGAAACATTCCATAGTATGTAAGGTTTTTACATTATAAAATGTAAACAGGAGCTTGATGTTAGATGTATGATAATGTGAAATGTACAAAATCTCCCACTAAGAGGCTTTGTAAGAGATAGCATTTACTTTCAATGACTTTAAAAATGTCCTGACAGGATCTAAGTAACACAATATTTGGTTTGTTTTTTAAGGTAATGTTGAGCCCACAGTTTTTTACAGGCACTGTACTAGTATGTCCTACTTCATTCTGTAACGGTTATTATTTTTCACATTTTATAGGTGAGAAAACTCAGCAGTAATGAAGTTAACTATCTTGCTAAAGATCACATAGTAAGTGGTAGAACCAAGATTTTAACGCATTTTATTCCAGGGCCCTAGTTCTTAACGCTTAAACTTGATTATGTCACTGAAAATATTCCTATGGAATATAACATCAGAAAAGATAGTGCTTGTACACCACAACTCTAAAGTTGGTGGCGGGGGAAAGAGGGAGACCTAGCACCCTTCTAGAAGGTTAATGCATCAACATTTCAAAATCATGGAGGGAGCTGCCACCCGCTAGGCTAGGAACCGACTGCACCCTTAAACCCCGCGGCGGCTCCCTCCCAATACGGGGTGCGCGAGAACACCACGGAGAGCCTCTTCCTAGAGGGGCCGGAAGCAGCAGGAGCCCCGGTACACGCCCATCTTCCGGCCAGGATGTGTGTCCCGGGTGAGTGAGTGTCCTGTGGTGTCCGGGACCGAGTTTGTGACCCAGGGTTATGTGCAGACTTCACACCTCTAACTTTTCTCAGGGTTCCTATTGATTGTTAGGAACAGGATTTCGGGGATGAAGGTGGCAGCTGCAAGAGGAGGCTGCGACTGAGACCCCAGATTCGTCCCCCCTTCACCACACACAACACCAAGATGGGCCCCAGGAGGGCATGGAGAGAAGACTTCCTTTCTTCTCCTCTCCCCTCCTGGTGCTGGCAGTATGAAGCTGTCTCCCAGAGGCATTAGTAGAGGAGCCCTGTGGGAGAAATGAGGTGTATAAATCACACTTAAATCTGTTTATGCTGTCATTGAACCTCTAAACACAATTGGATTATTTTCTAATGATCAGAAGTGTTATATGTAGATGTATTTGTAGTGAGACACACTAGTATGCTTGCTTTGGTGTCTTAATTTTATAATATTTGTAGTCAAGCTTCACATTGTTTCCATTGTTAAACTTAAAAAAAGTTGACTCGCAAATGAGAAATGAAGATTATAACCTAGAATGCACAGAATGGCAAGCCACTAATGCATTCAGTGAGGGAAGGGTAAAGGCAAGTTTTTATTAGCAAAAAAGAGAGGTTCATATAAGCTGCTTAGAGACCGTGTTCATTGGTTTCAGAGGCTCAAATCTGGAGTTGTCCGTTCATGGTGGAGATGCCATAATTGGGCAAGTGTTCTTTCCAGAACATCGTATCTGAATTATAGCAGTCCTGAAGAATGTCTACTGCTAAACCTTGTCAAAGCAGGAGATGCATGGAGGAAATGAAAGGGTTTCTTGTGCGGTGTTTAGAAAGACCTTGGAAACAGTTCTTATCTCAAACATGTAAGCATGAGCCTTCTCTCCTTCATGCCTTCCCAGCCGTATTTTACCTGGGTCTGACAAAAGTGATTTCATCCTCGTATCTGCAGTTTTCAAATCATATTATTAATTGTATGTCTGTCTTACCTAGTTTGTGCTTTCTGTCGCACATGATAAAATTCACCCGAATTGTCCATTTTCCTTTTGAATTAGTGGTTCAATCAATGAGTTTCAAGATAACTAGATGTCTTTAATCTTAAAAAAATAAATAAAAGTTCTTAGCAACCTTTTCATTTCTGCAAGTTAGTAATGATTTATTTTGCCTTGGGAGTGACCCAAAAGAAACCTGCCCAAGGACAGCCTCCTTAAAGCAGACTTCTATATACCCCAACCTGCAAAATAAGACTTTACATGAACTGTTATAGCCCATAACAGCTGCAGCCTTGACTATTAAATCTCAAAGGGAATAGAAAAGTCGCCTGACAGTTAAAGCAGAGGACTACACTAGGGGCCAAGATATGGGCTACTTCATATGGACGAACTCCAGCAACCAGGAGGTAGCTCATCAGAACGTTAGGCATTTCTGCTACCAGGAGGCACCTGGACCCTGTGAGGCTTTGAGCTGATTCTGGGAACTTTGCCATCAGTGGCTGAGGCCAGAGACCCGCACCAAAGAACAGATCCTGGAATTGCTGGTGCTGGAGCAGTTCTAGACTATGCTGCCAGAGGAGCTCCAAGCCCAGATGTTAGAGCATCAGCTGGAGAACAAAGAGGATGTGGTGATCATGGTGGAGGATTTGGAAAGAGAGCTTGATGAAACAGAATGTCATGTGTGATTAAAAGGCACATGAACACCCTAGCCAGAGAAAGAAGCAGCCACACACCCAGGGAAGCAAGGTTGCAGAGCTCAATCTCCACTCCCTCCCACTAGATATATAATTCTCTGTGTTTCTCACTCTCATCCTTTCTGGTTTGCTCCTTACTTCTTAAGGGTGGAAGAAGACTGTGTCAGCATTCTTTCTCTATTCTATGCCCTGAGATGTGTTCTGTAAGATGTCTTTTAAATATATTAACTGTGGTTCCCTCATTGAGTCTTTCACAAGCCCAGCCATATCTAATCGTTTCCAAGTTGCAGCCAGTGCATGTGGAATGGGACTGCACTCAGAATATCATCATCAAGCAGCACAGGAGCCACCAACTATTCCTTTCCAGCCAATGAAAAGACAGTTTAAATGGGAATATCCAGAATTCCAGGCCATTCGTGAGCAAGGTGAGCATTGCAATCCATCTCAAGAGAAAGGGAGTGGTTGAAAGCTCTGCCAGTTACCCAGGCTGAACAGCATTAGGAGCATCTCAGACATAACACCATGCTGAATCAGACTGAAGGTCCATCCCCTGAAGTACTACATTCCAGCTTATGTGGCACTAACAAAGGACCTGATGCAGAATGGCATAATGCTGTCCTCCCTCATATCAGCCTCAGCAGGAAGTTGTACACCAGCTTCCCTAATTTCTTTTAAAAAGCTATTCTAGGCCACTCTCATAAAACAAAATTACCTTTAATTTTTTGTAATATTTTCATAATATATAACTTCATATACCAATCTCTACTACACATTTAGTGCTTTCTCTGTAAAGTAGACTTTACTCTTTTGTCTTAAAATTACCTTTTCTGAATCCCCTGGATCACCTAAAGCCATTTTGTACCCTCTTTTCTGTTCCCTTGTAATAGAAGCTACATCATTGACCTGATCTTTTAGACTCATCTAAACATTTTTATTCTTTAGTCCCTGTTGTCTTTAATTCAAACATTACAAACAATTCTAAAATATCCCTTAGGTCAATCGTCTTCAGTATTACTTCCTCATTGGACCCATTACTTCTAACTTCAGTATGTTGGAATTTGTCCTGACTCTCAATAGAAACAAATTATTTTTCTCTTACCTGTCACTTTCCACATGCCATCTTCAGACCTTCCACTCACTTTCATCCTCCTCTACTTTTGACACTCATTTTTACTCCCATTGCTCAACACAGCTCTCTTCTTGGTTGTTCCTTTATTCTGGCTCTTCCTTTGCTCAGTGGTTTGGACTGAATGTTTGTGGTCCCACCAACAACCCCCAAACAATTTATACATTGAGGCCCTAACCTCCAATGAGTTGGTGTTATAGATGCGGCCTTTGAGAGGTAATTAGTTCTTGAGGGCAGGGCCCTGGTATAATAGGATTAATGCCCTTTTAAAAGCAGACACCAGAGAGCTTGATATCTCTTCCATGCACACATGAAGGTAAGGTCTTGTGAGCACAACAGCAAAAAAGTGATCATCTGAAAGCCAGAAGGAGAGCCCTCCCCAGAAACCAACCATATTAGTACCCTGATTTCAACCTCCAGAACTGTGAGAAAATAAATTTCTCTTATTTAAAACCACCAGTATAGTATTTTGTTATGGCAGCCCAACTTAACACCACTTCATGTCCCAATTCTGTGGCAATAATGTGCACGAGAGGTCTCCTTCCATTTACCAGCTATCTTATTCCTCGCTTACAAGGAATATATTCTTAGAGATATCACAAGCAGGGAAGATAGTTATCTGCATGGAGCATAGCTTGCTTGCTTAAAGAAAAGGACAAAAGTATTAATAGTAGATTTTGACTGAAGAACCATTTACATTTTCTAAGGGCCATTTTTTCACAGAAAACCAGTGTGTGCTCCCAAAAGTATAAGTAACCCAATTTAGTATTTTATTCAAAGGAAACATATACTTAGGAATAGAATTCATGAAAAATTTTAAAAATATATGATGCATACTCCATTCACAGTGGCTATATCCTAGAAAATCCCTAAGTATTACTCTGTACTATATTTCTTTCCCTTAATTTGGGGAAACTTTAGTTACTCAGATTATACCCTTGAGATACGGAGATCTTTACGATTCAAGACTCAGACTTAACTAGCCTAGTTTTCCTTTTCTTTATTCTGGTTCCCCATCTTCCAAATGAGTCTGTAGTTGGAAACTCTTACCCCTTAGTTTCCTCCCAATCAGCACCAGTTTGGGGGAGTTAAGGAATTATTTTTCATTTCCAGCTCTGGCTCTAAATAATGTGTCTCCAGCAGTGAAATGTAGGCCAAGATAGCTCTCTGATATGTAGCTCTTACAAAGGAACCCACTTCTCAGAAGCACTGAAAAAGGCAAATTATGAAGGTTCATAATACAATATAATAAAAATTCTTTAGTCATCCACTATTACAGATAATAAGCCAAATTTTAAATTCATATTGTATAACAAATTTGAATTTAGAAATAATTCCTCTTTATTCTTTTCATTTCAACCCAAAGTTACTTACTGATATAGTTCAGATATGTGTCTCTACCCAAATCTCATGTTGAATTGTAATCCCCAATATTGGAGATAGGGCCTGGTGGGAGGTGATTGGATCATGGAGTTGGATCCTTCTGAATGGTTTAGCACCATCCTCTTGGTACTGTTCTCCTGATAGTGAATTCTTGTGTGATCTCGTTGTTTACAAGTGTGTGGCACCTCTCCCTTCTCTGTCTCTCTTGCTCCTGCTCCTGCCATGTAAGAATCCTGCTCTCCCTTTGCCTTCTGCCATAATTGTAAGTTTTCTGAGGCCTCCTCAGAAGCCAAGCAGATACCAGCGTCATGCTTCCTGTACAGCCTACAGAAGCATGAGCCAATTAAACCTCTTTTCTTTATAAATTACCCAGTCTCAGGTATTTCGTTGTAGCAATGTGAGAACGAACTAATACACTAACTCTGAAACATAACTTTTTATGTATCCACATCATTTCGTAAAATTTTGTAGAAGTCTTAAAATATTTTAATCCCATCTTTCTCATCTGAAAGCACTGATATTCCACGTTTTTTCAAGAAAAAATATTTGGTTAGAAACACAGTAAAGTTTGTCTTCTGAGTGTGTACATTTTATAAAGACAAAATAAAAAACCCTTTATAACATAAACCCTGGGAAAAGATTTTGGTCCATAGCCTAGAAATACATTTGTAATATGTTGCTTAAATGAGATTCATGACATTTTAACAGGTATTTTATGATTGTTTATTTCTTTACTTATATGTCATATAATCCTTTTGTTCTTCCATTTTGATTTGGCAGAGCCAATACTCACCTATACTACAACTTTCTTATGCCAGCACAAGAATGCTGTATTCAAAATACTTTCCATGTATTACCTTCTTTTATCCTCAGATATCCTTGGCAGATAGTAGGGCAGATATTACCCTCATCTTATTGAAGAAAATTCTGAGTATAAGGAAGTCAAATAACTTGTCAACAGTTACACGGTTATGAGGCAAAGAAGCAACAGTCTCCAAAGCTACAGCTATTTATACAAAGACAATACATAAACCCTTACATTATAAGTGTCTAGTGCATTGCAAAGAAGACTTATGAGTGTTCAGCTAGAAGACTGAAGG